GATTTTACAACCTTTTATGATTCTCACTCGATGAAGTTTTCTTTTCCTGAAAAACAACCCAGGCCCAACCCACCCGGCTGCCCGCTCCTCTCTCCCGGTGTCTGTGCCTGCTTTCACGGGACGGTTGTCTCGCTCTCCCTTCCCTTTTCCACATCGGTCGATATCGATCTGATCGCTCCAGCAGCTGTTTTGTGCTAACGGCTGTCTCCGCGCTGTGCCCTCTGATAAATCCATGGCCTGCAAACCCTCCTCCTTTCCTGCTTGTCCTCCTCGTCGGGGGGCTCAGGAGTCCATTCCATTCGTTCACAACTTATTTCACCGAACATTTTACCAGAGGGGTGGTCTACGCTTTATTTCACCAATTCCTCCCGTTTCTCAGCTTCTGCGTAGAGACGACGGCACAGAGCTCTACAGGTTCCCGGTCTCTTCAAAATCATCTCCAAATTAATACACAGGCACAATATTTCCAGCAACGTATTTCCCTTTAAAGGAAGTCATGCCCTAAAAATAGCTTGCTGGGGTCCCTGCAGAAGTTCGTCAACACGCAGCGCTCTGAAGATGGCCGGGCAGGGCTTGGGTCAGGCCTTGGTCCCCGTTCCCGACGAGCGGAGCACCAGCCATGCAGAAATCAAAGAAGACAGCTCTGTGGAGTCGCGACACCTCCTACAACTTCCCCACAGCGCTACGGAAAACTGCAAGCGTGGGGCTACAGCATTTTCAGACTCCGTAGGTCAAGCAAGATGGATAATTTTTCTTTGATCGTGCCTGGTTTCTCACTGCATTATTAACAAACAGCTGTATTTTGCACGGCTTTGACGTATACTTTATCTGACCCACTGGTGAGGTTCTTCAAGTGGGACCACCACACAGAGGTCCCTGGGTGACAGGTTCATAAAGTAATTGTAAATAACAAAGAAGAGCCAAACGAATTCCTTCACACTGAAAAATGGCGTACGTCTTCCGAGCCAGGAAACAAAAGAAGGATTTCCACGGCATTTCTCCGCAAAACTATCAATCATTTCATTACGGTGAAACAAGCTTCATAAAATATTCTGTAGTTTTCCCAATAAGCTTTGAGAAAACTAAGCCCTCATACTGCCTAATTGCACTTACGAGCAAGCCAATTGTATGTCAGATTTATTTTGTTTTACGAGCCACGCTCGGAAGAAAGGGCACGCGATTTTTTAATCAAACCTGTGACACTCGCTACAAGACAGACTTTTGAAGGGCACTACTTCACCCAGACAAGAACATTCATCACCGCTGGGCACAGAGGAGAGGCGACTGTATCTTGTTATACGGAAACATACGGTCGTATGAGGATTTATCTCTGCCATCACACTCCGACTCCGATGTATTTGCAGAGCTGCTTGCTGGACCACCAGGTCAACCCAGGTCTGACCTGTCACAGCTCCTCTTAGGGTCCTGCCCAGGTGTGGGGAGTCACTGCGCAGCAGCTGCCGGCCAACCTGAGCACAGAAGTCATCGACAGAGACGCAGGTTTACAGCCACATTAAGGAGGAGTTCCAGCAGAATGCTGGGAATAGTAAACCCGGGGCTGAGTTTGGGGTGGTATCTCGGTATGAACAGTGTCCCCTGGCACGCGGACTGCTTCCACGGCGAACGAGGCGCAGCCGGCAGCAGTGCGAAGGCATCCATCCCTTCCCGCCGGGCCCAGCAGGGCTCTGCC